ATCAGAAGGAATTGGCTGACACAGAGGAATTTCATGAAGTAACATATGAGCCTGTGGTGATGAAGGAGGAAATTCAAGTTGCTCTGAAGGAAATTTTTTTGGATAGCAGTCCTAAATCATGTCTGTTTCATGTCAGTCTCTCATTTTCTGCTGAGGCTGGAGTTCCTCTTGTGCAAATATCATTCTTGCAGGCTCAGGAATATCTGGACCTGAAGGATGAGTGTTGCTTCCTTTTCCTTGATGTTGAGATTTCCTATTTCTGCTGCTGAATCTGCTCAATTTATAGGTCACACTGGCCAATACCCTTGTAGATAGACTAACACAGCATGTTCCTGAGCATCCATACAGCAAAATCAAAGTCAATAAATGGCTAGGAAAACCATTTTAAACAATCTACTCTTTGATTGAGGATTAAAATTGGGTTGATTCAGGCCATGTTATTTTCAATCACTTGCTATCCTGCTAAGAGCTCGTCAGAGAATAAGGATGACAGAAGAATTGATGCCTTTGAACTATGGTGTAGGAGAAAAGTATTGAATGTCCCATGGATTGTGAAAAGAACTTTCTTTGAGAAAGTGCACCCAAAGTGCTCCTTGGAGGCAAGGATAGAGGCAAGTTTCGTCTTGCATACTTTGGACATGTTGCTAGTAAAGGTTATTTGGAAAAAAGACATCATGCTTGGAAAGGTAGAGGGCCTGTGAAAAAGGATGATACTCAACTAGGGGGATTGTGAGGATGGTACAGGATAGGACAAAGTTCAGATCTGTTTTGTAGGGTGTCTATGAGTGGTATTCGACTGCACCCAATAACAACCACCACAGCATTTAGTTTTCTGCTGCCTCACATCAATTTAGGTCACTTCACCAAAGCACACAGCAAGCCGACACGGTGAACCACCCTCCACTGCCCACGCCCTCGCAGGCTATGTGCGCAGGCGCACAGGAAGAACACCGAAGCGTGGGCGGAAATGACGTCGGAGGACTCTTGAGAGAAGGATCTGAGTGGTAAACAGATCCAGAGTTGTCTCCAGGTCGACTCTGTCGACTGCTGCAGGCAGCATGAGCCGGTTATCAGAAGACTATGACCCCTACGCTGTTGAAGAGCCCAGCGACGAGGAGCCTGCTCTAAGTAGGTGGGTTCCTCCCCCGCTTCGCTCTCGGAGCACCGGGCTGAGCCCCTTCTTCCCTCCCCCCCAGTCGGCCTGTGCGCTGTCTGGGCCCTTCGGTTCCGATACCGTTGCGCCGCGCTGTAGCTTGTAGGAGGCCGGGGGAGGGGCCAGGTGGGGGTTCGTGGGGCTCCGGGGAGGCAGGAGCACCTCCCGCGCTGGCGAAGTTCCGGAATCGTAGGGGCCCACTCATAAATCTTCAAAAGCCTTGGGATCTATTTCGTCCTCTACTGCTTACTAGCGGCAAGTCACCTGCCCTCGGCTTCTCATGTGTGAAGTGTTATGTAATTACCATAGCATAAATTCTGTTGTGAGTTTTATGGATTTGAATCTTTGTGAGGTGCCCATTTTGAAGACCTTGTTATAAATAAGGGGATTTTGAACTCTTTTTGAACACATAACGCAGCTCTCTACTACAGAGGTGAATCTTTCACAGGTTTAGGGTAGTTAAGAAAATGAAGACTATGTACAATGCAGAAAATGATGCCCTGAAATAGGCCCAGGTGAAGTTTCTTGGACTTTCTAGAAAAGTATTAATCCCTTTTTGGGAAAACATGCAGTTAACTTGTAAGGAGATTTTCAGGTATATACAGCAATTTCTTAAAGTGTAGGCATGCTCTACTAATAAAAGCTTAAAAATTATATTCTGAGAAGGCCTATCATCAGTTACAGCGTTTTCTTACATTATCCATGGGAGAGGTTATAGATGAGATTTCTGTAGGGATTTTTCTTGGGATTAAGGATGAATCTCTCTAAAAAAGATTCAGTTAACGGGTCTTATCTGTGCAAGGATTGTCTCACATACTTCTGGCTGTTCCTTGGAGGGGGCCTTGATTCTTGGAAAGGTGGAGGGTCGATGAAGGAGAGGAAGACCCTTCACAAGGTGGATTGACACAGTGACTGCTGAATGTATCAGGAAGTGTAAGAATGACAGAGGATAGGACAGGTTCCAGATCTGTTGTTCATAGGGTTGCTGTGGGTTGTACTTGACTTAATGGCACCTAATAACATCTGTGCAAGGAAGTGTAGGCCTTAGTTCAATTTGATTGATACATAGTAGTGTTTTCTAGATTTGAGTCATTCTGCCTTACCGTTTCCATATAAGCCAAAGGAATGCACTACTGTCCTCTGTATTCTGACTTACAATGGTCCTCCATCAATTTCCAAGGCTGAAAGAACTATGAAAGGAGACTGCCCATCTCTCTACAGTGGAGCAGATGGTAGGTTTCAAACTTTGGCCTTTTGTTAGCAGTGAAGCCTACTGTGTTTCTATATACCACATATATTATTTAATACTTTTACTTAAGTCAACTTTTTATACTTATATTTTTAAAAGGCAGCTTTATAATCTTGTGACAGTTACCACGGGCAAGGTAACTAACAGTAAATACTATACAAACAAAACGGCATTGCCTGCTTACTGTTCTGTAAAGGGAAATTAGTTTTAGGTGTTTTGAGAAGAGAGGTGACTGGGATTTGATTTTACCCTACTTAATAAGCTAGTTGGGAGCTCTGAGACCTAGTAGGTAATAATGAGTTGTGCTGCCATCCCAAAGGTAGGGGATTCCAATCTTTTAGCTGCTGTAAGGTAGAAAGGTGGATGGTTTCCTCTTGAGCAATTTACAGCCTCTGAAAACCCAACTCTATGGCAGTGAGTTGGGATTTAATAACCTTATTTATTAGCCTGTTACTCTTGTGTTGAAATGGACAAAAACGCTCTTAGGTCAAAGACAGAGACTTTTATTATTTATTCTTCATACAGTGAGCAGCATGGTTGTCATGTTTGTGTTGGTTCTTACCTTCTAGCCCCAAAGGTGCTACATGAAGGGACCTTGTTGGATTGCTCTAGCATGTTAAAGACTCACTCTCCTCTTGAAATAACCACAAGGATTGAAGAAATAATTACAAATAATACATTTTTAACAGTGTGACAATGTTTGAGATAGTTATAAATTTCATGTAATTTAAGAAATAATGTCCTCTGTATTTTGTATTTTATGTTATTATATGTGTTACGCATTATATGTTTTTGTATTTATGCTACACAGTAAACATATAGAACATTTCCATAACCATAAGGCATTGTTCTCTCATGTTGTTGATATCAGGTGCTATCTGTCAATTATGACTCATAGCAACGTTATAAACAACAGATCCAAATTTTGCCCTGTCCTGAGCCATTCTCAAGGCGTGCCTAAGCCCATGCATTGCCTCCCTACTTAATCCCTAACAACATTTAAACCCTAACGTATTTTGCCACTTCAAGAATATAGCAGTATTTTGATAATATTTTGCTCTCTTCTGCTTTCTGGTTTAATTCTGTCACTCTGGAGAAACCCAGAGCAGAAGAAAAAATAAATTGGCAGAAATTGTTCAGGAGAATTTAGAATATAATTTAACTTTCTTTGTCTTTATAAGTCTCTTTACCATTGTGACTTCCCCCCCCATAATAAAAACTTTATTGAAAAAACTGACAGTAAAAGAAATAAGTGCCATATACTTTACCAAAACCTGAAATGTTATTATATTATCATCTGGATTAACTAGAATTACTGATTGGTAAGGCTTTCCGTAACCAAAGAGAAATTCAGGAAGTCGTAGAGAGCATTAGTGTTGTTTTCTTCTGAATGAACAACCTTCTGTGAGTCTGTCTGGCTTTTCTCCGTGGGTTGACACGACATTGTTGAACAATCTACACAAAGAACCACTCTCTGAGCATGGCTGAAAACTGTGGTAATCTTGTAGCAACCTGGACATTTTACATCCATAAAATAAGAATTTGGGCTCTGAACTAGCTGTTTCTTTTTATGCTTTTTCTTCTCATCCTCCATGGAAAGATGTGATAAATCTCTTGCCAAAGTTATGTTGATGCTTTTCTAAAGCCCACCTCTATAAGCACGAAGACAAAACCCAAGCTAACTGTGTGACCGGGCACAACTTCCCCATTGTGACTTTTAAACTATACTATTTAATTACCATCTTGTAAGTTACACATTATGTGAATATGTTGGCTAAGTGTATTAAATTTTACATTCCCAAGGTATTATAATCAGTACAGTGAGGTAAATGTTTCATTGTTGATAAAGTTATGAATTGGTATGTGGCAATGTCATAAGTCAGAATGATAATTATTAAATATTTATTCTGAGGAAATAGAAACAAAATTATGTATACAGAGATGTAATGTTTAATAACAAGTTGGAAATAAATGTACAGTATTGAGAGTGATACATCAGCAAGAGAAAATATGCTAATATTAAAAATGTGTGTGGAAGTATGTAGAAAGGGTTACTCTAATGTGAGAAAAACTAAATGTAATATGTCAGATACAGTCTTGCACAACTCTGATTGCCAGTGAGATGATGAGAGTTTTATTTTAGTTCTTTAGTATTCATATTTCTTCTCATTTAAATGGCTGCCAGCTCTGAAGATGAAGTGGATGTGCTTTTACATGGAACCCCTGACCAAAAACGAAAACTCATCAGAGAATGTCTCACTGGAGAAAGTGAATCATCGAGTGAAGATGAATTTGAAAAAGAAATGGAAGCAGAATTAAATTCCACCATAAAGACAATGGAGGACAAGTTATCCTCTCTGGAAACAGGTAGAAGAATTTTAGTTAAAACTTCTTATGATTTTGAAAACTTTTAAAAAGAATTTTATTAATTTTAATGAACATTTACAGAGATTTTGGATTTCCATTCATTCATTGTTGCACTTTTCTCCCTCCCCAGCCCTCCCTGCCACACCCCAGTTTGCTCCCCCCCACCCCCGCACCCCTCGTACTGCCCTGAGTACATTCCACTATGCAACCTTAATTCTGGACCCTTGTGGATTTTGTAAACTTTTAAGGACAAGAACCCTTATTGCTGATGCTCTGTTGTGTCTTCAACACTTTTAATAGGTGGTCAGTACACCTTTATTGAATAAATGAAATGCTAGGGGTTAGCATTTTATTACAAACTAGTATACCCAAGGGGAATCCATTTACTGTTTTTCTTGTCATATACATCTTGGGCAGTAGCAGCATGTCTTGTTTGGTTTCCATGTGAATATACTATGTCTTTTTAACAGTTATGACCTGAAGAATAAAATAGTAGTGGTAGTGGTGGTGTTGTGTGCTATTGAGTTGGAACATACCCATAGCTGACCCTCCAGCAGCCTTCCAGAAGCAGTAAATTGCATGGGAGGAGATTGCCCATTCTTCTCCCATGGAGCAGCTGGTCAATTCAAATCACATGCCTTTGGATTATAGTGCAGTTTCTTACACTAGGTAACCAGAGCTCCTTAAGATAATAGTAATACAGTATTAATAATTTAAAAAAACCCAAAGCAGTTCTTCATTAAGAGGAATGACTGGAGATACAAACATGTGATGATAATGTCAAGGCACCTGGCCCAACTGGGGAAAATTAGATTATGTCTTTGACTCATTCTCCTTGCCTTTGTGTAGAGTTCTGTCTTTCCTAAAATATTTTTTTTAAATATTTGTTCCCTGTTCCTCACAGTATTTTGTACCTGAAATGTAGAGACATGTATGCTAGCAACCTGAAAATATGGCAATTTTACTTAATTATATTTGTAAGAAAAGAGGATAATACCTTTATAATACTGAACATTTACTCGAGAAGGGACAGTTCTCTGTAATTACATGTTATTGTTAGGTACTGTCAAGTTTATTTACAATAGAATAAAACATTGCTCAAGTCAACACCATCCTCTCAACTGTTGCTGTTTTTGAGCTGGTTCTTGGGTAGCTGTGTCACTCTCCCTATTGAGCATCTTTTCCCCTCCTTTCTCCAGTTTTAACTTTTCATCCACATTGACA